TCTTGAGCTCAGGTTTTCGGAGTGAAGGGTACAGTGATGCCCAAGTTCTGCAGATCCTGGGGCTCAGAACCTGGTCAGCACAGCTCCATCCATGGCCTGAGCTTCAGAGGAAGTCTGCAGGGCCACGAGGGGCCTTGTCATGCTCCTCCTACAATGACATTGGCTTGGTTTTTTTAGGCTTATAGGAGCTTTAGGCAAATCTAGAACCTTCTGGAAAAGCCTTGTGAGCAGGTCTGGTGGGCATGTCCAGGGTCTCAGTCTCTGACTGTCCCTAGCCTTCCTGAGAGCCCCAGGCTGAGCCTCCTGGACTCTGTGTTTCCTAAAATGGCCTAAGTACAGGAGTCTGTGAACTCCTGGCAATTTGGGCAAGTCACTGAACCTCTCTGAGCCACTTTCTTACCTGTAAATATAGGAGCAGCCCGAGTGCCTACTTCACAGTGTGATGGCACGGAGGCGGCTGGTTTCTGTCTGCCTTGGTTCCCTCTTAGGGCAGCTGTTGGGAGTAACTTCCGCCCACGTTCCTTATATGCCCGGGCCTCATCCACTCTGGAACTGATTACTGCCTTCCTCCTTCCACCCATAACGTGCTTCCTCCTATAGACGAAATGGCGGATAGGAAGGAAATGGTGCATAGAAATCGGCCACCATCTTCAGCCTTGCCAACGTCAGATTTGGGGTGGGTCATTTGGAAGGACAGAAAATCTTTTTTTTTTTTTAAGATTTTATTTATTTATTTGACAGAGAGAGACACAGCAAGAGAGGGACCACAAGCAGGGGGAGTGGGAGAGGGAGAAGCAGGCTTCCCGTTGAGCAGGGAGCCCGATGCGGGGCTCGATCCCAGGACCCCGGGATCATGACCTGAGCCGAAGGCAGACGCCTAACGACTGAGCCACCCAGGCGCCCCAAGGACGGAAAATCTTCTCTCAGAAGATAAAACACACAGAGCTTGTCAGTGGCAGAACCAGGACCAAAACCTTGGTCTTCTGCTTCCTGTCATTGTGCTTGATGCTATGGAAGCTCCGGAGCCGAACACAATGCTCAGCCCCTGCCTTCCAGGAATGCCCGGCCTGGCAGGGAAAGAAACCATAAGCAGTCTTCCACACCGGACAGGATGTGATAAATGGCATACCTGAGGTACAAATATTACCCACAGGAGTGGGGAGCCGTGTTGTTTACACAGCCAGGTGCTTCTTAAATTAGGCCCGAATCCCCTGGGGATCATGTTAAAATGAAGATACTGATTCAACCGGTCTGGGTTGGGGGGAGGGGAGTCTGAGTTTTTCTTTTTTTTCTTTTTTTAACGTTTACTTATTTATTTTTGAGAGAGAGAATGCGTACGCAAGCAGGGTGGGGGGAGGGGCAGCGGGAAAGGGAGAGAGAGCATCTCAAGCAGACTCCACGTCCAGCCCTGAGCCCCCAAGTGGGGCTCAAACTCATGACCCTGAGAGCATGACCTGAGCGGAAATCAAGAGCTGGACACTTAACCGACTGAACCACCCAGGTGTCCCCTGCCTTTTTTTTTTTTGTTAACTTTTATTTATTTATTTATTTTTAATTTTCTATTTTTTTGAGATTTTTCATTTCTTACAAGCTCCCAGGTGATTCTGATGCTGCTGGTCCAGAGACCATGCTTTGAGTAGTGAGGGTTGAGATATCCAACTTTTTCTTTGCATGATCAAATCTTCCATCCAAATGTCTAGAAACCAAAAGCAACAATTATCAATATAACTGTGTCAATAAATGTTACTTCGGGCTGTTTCAGGTGGCCCCGTGGGGTGAATTTCAGTAGTCACAGTCTTAATACCCATTGTGTTCCTGGTGTCGTGGGGAATTACAACACAGGAAAAAGTACAAACACTGAATCTCCGCCCTCAATAACCTTACTGTTTACAAAGGAGTGAGTCAGATTAAACAGCACAAGAACAAGTCGGCTCCAGTCCGCACATCTATACAGTACACTTCCACTTCACAAAAGGACACAGAAAAGCATGAATAGGCCTCAGACTGTGTTCATCAGCAGACATCAATATCCTCCCAACTGGTCTTCCTGTGTCCACTCTGGACCTGTTCCAGTTCATGCTCTCCCCTGCACTGACCAGAATAGGCTTTTCAAAATTGCAAATCTGATCATGTTATAGTGCCCCCCCTCTACCACCCCAAATTTCAGGCCTTCCATTTCCCCCCACTGTGTTTGGCAGGATCCACAAGTCCTGCAGGGCTGGCCTCTGCCCTGCCCCCGTACCCTGTGCCCCTCGTCACACAGTCCTTGCACACGGCCTGTTGGCTGGGACTCATGATTTTTTTTTTTTAAGATTTTATTTATTTATTTGATAGAGACACAGCGAGAGAGGGAACATAAGCAGGGGGAGAGGCAGAGGGAGAAGCAGGCTCCCTGCTGAGCAGGGAGCCCGATGTGGAACTCGATCCCAGGACCCTGGGATCATGACCTGAGCCGAAGGCAGACGCTTAACAACTGAGCCACCCAGGCGCCCTGGGACTCATGATTTAACCCCATCCCCTCCTTCATGTCAAAGACAAAGAGGGCGAGCTGCAAGGGAGTTAGCATGAACTTCTGCCACCAAGAAGGCTTCCCGGGGGAGGGGAGATGGCTCCCTTACGGGAGGAAAAAGGCAAGGTCAGGGAAGGTGAAACAGAGACCATGCTTGGGATGAAGGAGAGGACTTCTCACCCGCAATGTCATGGCCAAAAGACCTTGAAAGCAAAGTACATTCAAGATCTTACGACCAACTTAGAAGATATTTTCTAAAGGTTTACAGGAACCTGAAAGACTATATGGAGTGAGAAATCTTTCCTAGTAGGCTCATCCAGCCTACCAAATCTGTCTTTAGCCCTGAGATTCCTTGAGCTTAAGACTTACGTCACCAAGTGTCTCTCTGGATTTCTCCTCTCAATACGCTGGCCCTCTCCATACAATTAATCTGAAACTAAACTCACATCTTCTCTTTCTTAAGTGCCCTCTTCTGTCTTTCATGTTTGTCAGCTAGATCGCTACCTAGAACCATCTCTGACCCTCCCCCTTGCCCTCTTCTCTTTGTCAGTTACGGATTCTATTGCCCCTCCCTTGTCCAACCGTGCTCTCCCCCAACACTAGCAGCATTCTTTCAGGGTTTCTTTGTTCCTGCACTGATGCCAAGACCTTCCACTGGCCTCCCAGCTCAGAGCATCCCTACCTTACCTGCATCTGCCCTGCACAGCTCTGAGCGTCGTTCCCCCCAGTCTCCTCCACCGGATTCCCTCCAACTGGCAAACAAAACTCAAACTCCTTGGTTTGACTTTCAAGCTCCTCTGCTGCCTTGGGTGGCTTATCTTCCACCTCCGCTGCCCCTTTGCTCCGGCCTATGGGAGGTATTTGCCCTGCCCTTGAAAACCTGATGGGCCTTCCCAGCTGTGGCTGCCTATTCTGACCCCACCCCCCACCCCCTACCCCTGTCCTAATCTTGCCCATTTTTCAAGGCTCACCTCAGGTGTGCATCTTTTTTGTTGTTTAATTGAAGTACGGTTGACATACATTCTTAGTTTCCAGTGTACAGCGTAGTGATTTGACAACTCTATACATGACCCAGGGCTCACCACAGAGATTATAGGCACCACTTGTCACCGTACAACGTTGACGATATTATTGACTATACTCCTGCTGTACTTTTCGTCTCCGTGACTTACTTATTTTATAACTAAAGTTTGTACCTCTTAACCCTCCTCACCTAGGTCACCCCCTCCCCCTGCCTCCCTCCCCAGAGGCACCTCTTCTGTGAAGTCGTCTCTAACCCCCTGGCCGCAAGAGAGGTTTCTCAGAACTCCCACAACTGCTGTGACAATTGAATAATTACACTGCATCCTACCATGATGATGATGATTTCTTTGTATCACAGTATCAATAACATCTATTAATTATTGAGCATTGACTAGCCAGGTATCTTGGGCACATTATGTAACTTCTCCATGCCTCTCTTTTTCATCTGTAACATGGTGGTAATAATGGCACCTGGCTCAAAGGGTTGTGAGGATACGTTACAATCCTACCTGACACAAAGTACTTGATTAGTGAATGTCAGCTACTGTCATTACTGTAAGTATAGGGGCTTACTTTATATTGTCCCACTAACCCTCAGACCCCATGAACTGGGTTACTATTATTATACTCTTTTGTTTTCTTTTGTTTTTTAAAGATTTTATCTTTAAGTGGGGCGCCTGGGTGGCTCAGTCGTTAAGCGTCTGCCTTTGGCTCAGGTCATGATCCCGGGGTCCTGGGATCGAGCCCCGCATCGGGCTCCCTGCTCAGCGGGAAGCCTGCTTCTCCCTCTCCCACTCCCCCTGCTTGCATTCCCTCTCTCACTGTGTCTTTCTCTGTCAAATAAATAAATAAAATATTTAAAAAAAAGATTTTATCTTTAAGTAATCTCTACACCCATCATGGGGCTCAAACTCACAACCCCGAGATCAAGAGTCGCATGCTTTACCAACTGAGCCAACCAGGTGCACCCTTTAAAAAAAGGGGGGGCGCCTGGGTGGCTCAGTCGTTAAGCGTCTGCCTTCGGCTCAGGTCATGGTCCCAGGGTCCTGGGATCAAGCCCCGCATCGGGCTCCCTGCTCAGTGGGGAGCCTGCTTCTCCCTCTCCCACTCCCCCTACTTGTGTTTCTGCTCTATCTCTCTCTCTGTCGAATAAATAAATAAAATCTTTAAAAAAAATCTTAAAAAAAAAGATTTTATTATTTACTTTGAGAGAGAGAGCACGTGCACACAGAGGGTGGGGGGGGCAGAAGCAGAAGGAGAGAGAACATCTGAAGCAGACTCCATGCTGAGCTTAGAGCCCCATATAGGGCTCAATCCCATGACCCTAAGATCATGACCTGAGCTGAAATCAAGAGTCAGACTCTTAACTGACTGAGCCACCCAGGCGCCCCCAGGTGCCCCTTTTTTAAATTGTGATAACATATACATAACATAAAATTTATGATTTTAACCTTTGTTTTGACATTTTCTTTTAATGGAATGCTTCACGGGTTTGCATGTCATCCCTGTGCAGGGGGCATGCTAATCTCTGTATTGTTCCAATTTTAGTGTATGTGCTGCCAAAGTGAGCACCGATCTTAATCATTTTTAAGTATACATATAGTTCAGTAGTGTTCAGGACATTCACATCGTTGTGCAGCCAATCTCCAGAACATATTCATCTTACAAAACTGCACCTCTATACCTATTAAGCAATTCCCCATTCCCTCCTTCCCGAGCCCTAGGCAAGCACTATTCTGCTTTCTGTCTCTATGAATTGTATTATTATACTCTTTTTTCTTTTAAAGATTTTATTTATTTATTTGAGAGAGAGAGAGAGAGCACAAGCAGGGGGAGGGGCAGAGGGAGAGAGAGAAGCAGACTCCCCACGGAGCAGGGAGCCCCACACTGGGCTCAATCCCAGGACCCTGAAATCATGACCGGAACCGAAGGCAGACCCTTAACCAACTGAGCCACCAGGCGCCCCATATTATCATACTCTTTTCACAAACCGAGGATACCAAAGTTCAGAGAGTAATTTGCTTCTAGGAGACAGAATCTGAACTTGAACCCAGGCCCGAGTTCATGCCTCAAGCCACTGTGAAATAGGGCTTCATCTCGCAGGGCATCTGTGATGTGTTTTATTTCCCTCATAACAATGGTGGTGCCCGCGTGCCCAGGCCTCCTCTGTGCCCGTGTTTTGCCGCCATTCTCCCATTTAATCCTCACAGCAGCCCACGGTCATTGTGAGGGGCCGTGTCCTGTCTCCCCGCACAGTGTCTGATACAGAAGTGAGACACAGCAAAGCATGTTCAGTGAATATGGGCCTATCCGACGCCTTTAAGTAGGCTAACTCATACTAAATAAATTTGTTCTACGTTTTTAATGCAATTGTTTACATTTTTTGGAAAATGTTGATCCTCTCAGGAGAAAACCAGCTGAAATTCAGGAGCTGGTAAAGGACTTCCTTCCCAATCCTCTCCACTCCCCCTCCTCCTGCAGAGTCAATCTGCTCTTCTCACCCCAGACCAGCCCCCAGGCAGCCCCCCCATCTGCACCTCATCACCAGCTCTGCTGATCCACAGCCAAAGGCTGAGGCAGGCAGGCAAGGGGACATGAGAGACTGTCCCTACTCGGCTTCCTCCCCCTGCCACTCCACCCCCACACTCTTCCTTCTAGCCATGCACAATCCTGGCCATCCTGGAACAAGCTCTGTCCTTTCACGCCTCCCTGGCTTCGCACATGCTGTTCTGGAAGACTGGAATGCTTTCCCTCCCCTCGTTCTCCACCTCCGAGACTCCTACAATCTTTGCAAGCCAGCTCAGACTTCACCTCCTCGGGGAAGCCTCCTCTCCTACCCTCTGCTGTCAGTCCGCCCCCTCCTCTGCACAGACTTGCTCATCATATACTACAGCACTTGGACTGCAATGACCCAGAGTCGGTGTGTCCTCCATGTCCCCAGTTCCTTGTGCTGGGATGACGCTTCATCTCTGCTCGTTGCAGGGGTCAAGAGGAACCCCAGGCGCTTCGATTTTTTTGACACTCCTAGTATATTTGAAAACGAAGAGATGGCAAAACAAGTTCACAAATAAATACTGAGGCATATTTTTCCATGTTTAATGCATTAATGGCTTCTAATACAAAAAAAAAATTACACCATAATTGTGCTGCTCACAAGATGATGATAGGATTTATTAAAATACAATAATGTATAGTGCTCCACAGGCAGAGCGGTCTTTGTCAATAAGAAACAAGCCTAAGGACACAGAAAGGGGATCTTGGATCCAAATTGGTCAGTGGATCTGACACAATGTATAACCAACCCCATTTGGAGATAATGTCAAAAGCCTAACTTGGAGACCCTGGCCCAGTGGTTCGTCTGGCCCCTTTCCATGATGAGGGGCTCCACTGCCCCCTCTGTACCCAGTAGGTGCTCAGTGTTTCCTGAATGATGGGAACACCTGCAGCTTTCCAGTTAATTATTGAAAATTCACATACAATAAGTATTCCTGAGAAACAATGAAGTCCTGAACAATGGGGCAGGAAGCCAGCTCCTTCTCCAGTGACCCCCAACCCTCAGAGCCCCGCTGAAGGCTGCAGCAGGAAGCCCCTCACCCACCGTCTTTCCTCCGCTACTTCCCCGAGGGCACCAAAGGCAGTGGGGCTTTCCCTTTGCTCTCAGCCTCTCTTCTCCTCCACCCTCTTGAGGGTCCCAGGTGAAGAGAGAGAAAAGCACAGACCCACAGAAGGAGGCCAGCAGCCTGCCCCCAGGCAGGCCTGAGGAATAAAAGAAACAGTGAGAGGACAAAGAAGGACTTAAAGCACTGAAGCAAGGGGGAGAAAGGCCTAAGGAAGTTTACAAAGCAATCTGTCAGAGAAGGGATGAAAAGGGAGCCCTGCTGGGCTGAGAGGCTCAGGCGCTCAACTCACCTTAGGCCCAATTAGAAATGTGTAATTACTCCACAAAAGTCTGAACTGACCCCCCTCCTCCTTGTCCCAGAAGTTTCCCTGAGCGTGAGGCCTCAACTTGCTGGGTTCTGGCAGGCTCAAATACCTCTGCTCTACTGGGCTCAATCTACCAATTTGCTTGAATCCACCCGCTGGCCCAACTTCCAATTCCCTCTGGATTTCCAGCAGAAACACCATGTGAGGTGAAGGTCACCAGCAGATTCTCACAGCTCTTGGGCCACTCTGACTTCCCAGATTTTATGAGCCAGGGTAAACATCCACAGGCCTTTCTGGAAGTCTCCCCTGCCACCAAAGGCAGGATTAATAATAATACCAGCTGTCATATGAGTGTTCATTCTGTGTGGAGTGCTTTATATCACCTCGCTTAGTGCTCACCGCCACCTGAGGTATGATTGCCCTGTTTTACAGAAAGGGAAATAGGCCTGGAGAGATTGAATGACTATCTAAAGGACAGACAGCCTGGATTCCAACCCAGGTCTGTCTGACCTTGATACCCCACATTCTTCCCACCATGGACACTGTCTCTCGGGGACCCTCTACAATTCCTTCCCCCCCTTTTTTTGTGGTACCCAAATAAATCTCAGATCGGGTAGGATGGTACAATTCTGAGCTACCTAAAGAATTCCCAGTCTCACAGCTGGGGATGAGAAGAGGAGTGGGAGTGGGGGAGTCCGCCTCATGGCTGGGTAGGGTCCTAGTTCTTTTTAGACACTTGAGTAATTTAACCATAAATAACTGGGCACTGGGAACAGGACACTCACTAATAAAAGCATAGCCTGGAGTCATGTTGGGGGTGAAGGGGGGGAATTCAAGTCACTCAGTGGGTGGATGTATCTGCAAAACAAAAGAAAAGCCCCTTTACCAGCCCAGGCAGAGAAGTCTCCTGTAAAGTTAGAGACAACAGGCTCCTGGGCACATAGCCAAGGTTCTGGGGATATTTATAACTTGAAGAGGGTGGGAGTCCCTAATAAGCTGCTATATTCTTTTTCCATCACTTCCCTCTCCAAGGCTACAGCGAGCTCAGAGCTCTTCCCCACGCAGAATGCCTGCTTACCCTAATGCTGGGCTTCCATTGTCTAGTTTTCTCATCCTGGCTGGGGAAGGGGAAGGCTTCAAGTCCTTCCGTTCGGAAGAACTCCAGCTGAATGCAGCTTAGCTGCTGCTGGTGTTTCTTGGCTAGCTGCTGTGGTCTCAGAGGTCTGCCTATGAGTCTGTGGTTTCCCCGAGCTGCCTGAGAGTCTGTGAGTCTTTGGGATCCGCCTACGGATCTCTGGGCTCTGCCTGCAAGTCTACGGATTTGAAATCTACCTACGGGGCTGAGATATCCGGGATCTGCCAGTGATCTCCAGAATCTTCCCAAACATCCGAAGTCTCAGAGAACTCTGCCTGCGGATTTGGAATCTGTCTGAGGCCTCTCGGATCTTGGAGCCGGCGAGCTAGGGGATCTTTTGCGGGTCAAGAGGTAAGTCTGTTCTTTTCCCAGCTGGGTCTTTCGGCTTCCCACCTTCAGCCGGTCAGGGACTGCTAGCATCCTGATGGTCTGTCTCCCCGGCTCAGGCCCTCAGAGGCCCGAGAGCCCATCCGTGCAGGAAACCGTCAGAAATCCTTTTAGGAGACAAGCTCTCAGGGATGGTAAGGACGACTCTTCTCAGCCCTGAAGCTTGACTCGCTCCTCCTTAGACGCCCTGTCCCCCACCCTCCCTTCTGTATTCCTTCAGGGTTTTCGCCTCCCCTCCACTGGGCGCAACTCAACCCGCCCCTCAAGGGGCGCCCTCTTTAGAAGGACAAGGTTGTAGTCCCCTATAGGGTTAATAGCGATGGGGCCGGGACGCCCCCTGGCCAAGCCGCGGACTGCACTAGCCAGCGCACGGGCGGCGCGGGGCTTCCTGGGAGTTGTAGTCTGAGTGGCCGGAGGAGAGTGCCGCAGGCACTGCTGGGAGACGTAGTGCGTGGGCGGAGCTCAAAGTTACAGCGCGGCCGCTGAGTCTCCCCTGGGGAGTGGGCGGCTGCCGCTTTCCTCTCGGGCCCCGGCTGTCAAATGAGGGCTAACCCCAGAAGAACCCAACACAGGCCAGCGCCTAAATTAGGCCCGACGTGGAAGTTAAGGCCCGACTCAGGATAAGCTTCTAAGGTCGTGAGGAGATGCAGGGCAACCTCACTGGCTTAATCGGGCTGTGGTCTCCAAGAGAAGAAAGCGGAAGATACTACGCCCTGGCTAGGAGGCCGTGCTTCTTTCTTCACCCTTTTGTTCTTTTCCCTCCTTGGTTTTTGGCCTCTGACTGGCCTTTGTACGCCAGAATGGAACTCCAACTCCCGGCAGGCCACGGGGGCAGGCGCACGCGTGATAGAGGTGCTCAGCCACGCTACAAGAGGCGGGCCTAGTGTTCGGCATCTCGTTGGCAGAGGGTTTTGCGAGCTTTGCTCGCTGGTTGGTTGAGGTAGCTGCCGGAAAGGGCCCAGCCTCGAGATGGGAGAGCGGAGGCGTTCTGTGGGCTGGGCTGAGAGCCTCCTCCCCGAGACAGCATCGGCTTGACCCCCGGCCCCGGAGGGCCCGAGCCAGGGGGCTGTCTTAGTAGATTCCTGCAGTGCCTCCACCCTACGGTGGCGGAGACACAGAGGGCGGG